GAGGAATTTTGGAAGCAAAATTTAGCAGCCTGTACGAAACCCAATGGGCAACAGAAGGGACACAAGAGCAGAGCAAATGCCTCCCTGATTTCCCTGCTGCCTGGAAAGGTCTGAAACCTCTGAAATCCTCCTCCAACAGCTTCAGGAGGTGCCAACCCCACCGGCAGCCAGATCATTGTGCCATCTTCTCCAAAAATCCATCCCTGCCTTTGATATGTTAATCCTGCGTAAGGCAAATTCTCCCATTAGAATAAAGTCCATTCTGGTCTCCCTGCAATCTGCATGATCCAGTTCAAAGTTAAATTAAAAATCCCAACCTGTGTGAATGTTGCAATCGCATTATGAAATCGGGAAATCTATTTTTAATGTCTTAATGCTGCTCTAGTTGAACAAGGCAAGGTGAATGCTGCATGGAATTTGCTTTACACTTTTTTTGATTCTCATGCTCTCATTAAATATTCACTCTGCAGCCTTTGCATTTCCAGTACTGCAGGACCCTAAAATAGAAGACGAGTTTTTCTTTCCCTCTTTTGTTTTTGAAATTCCAGCTTGACTCCAGGATCTCTCCAAATCAAACGTGGAGCATTAATTGTTGCAAAGAGAAAATGCTTCAAACTGCTAGAGATGACAGAAAATTGGATTTAGATCCYAAATCTGCAGCTTTCTGCCCTGTTTTTAGGGGGTGACAGAGCCAAATATTTGATTTCATTACAAATTTAAGATATATGCAATGTTAATTCTCTGYATTAATAAATATTTGATCATCACTGGAACAACTGCCCCAAATCAACGTCTTACAGAACATTATTTGGGGAAATAATTTGTGCTTTTCATTCTGATCTGGGATGGAAACAAGCTCCAAAGGACTGGAATATTCTGTGTAACAAACTCTCTCTTTTCTGAGCAACTCGCTTTGAAAAAATCAATGTATGAAGCAAATAAACGCTGCTGTTCTCACTCGAGAGCCATCCCAGGAAAATCGGGCTCTCCCTGTTTGCAGCCCATCTCTTTATCACCGTTAATATTTCCCCGCTCAAAGTCACAATGAATTGCTCGATATTGAGCACACAAACAGGATAGATATAAAAACAACTGAGAAAGAAGGAAAGGGCKGCAGAGAAGATGGATTTGTCCTGAAATGCCAGATTTTGCAGGGCGGAGGACGCAGAGCGCTCCGGTCCCCGCGGATGCCGTGTCACCATCCACACCTTGTCGCACGGGGCAATTCCCGCAGGGAATTTGGGCACATCCTGGAGGTGGCAGCGGGGGAAGCTTTCGCACCGCTGGTGATACCCGAGACCTTTATTAGGCTCGGGTGAGTGATTTACAGCGCGCTCGGGGAGTTTCCGGCACTTCGGGCAGCAAAGGCGCGTTTGGAAGGGTCGGGGTTGGGCTTTGGGTTTGCGGGAGGTCCCGCTGGGATGTGGCCGCTCTGTCCCCTCCCTGCTTCACTCTCTGTCCCCTCTCCTGTCCTTCTCTGTACCTCCCTGTCCCCCCATCCCCCTCTGTCCCCTTTCCTGTCCTCTCCTGTCCCCTCTGTCCCCTCTCCTGTCCCTCCTGTCCCCTCTGTCCCCTCTCCTGTCCCTCCTATCCCCTCTGTCCCCTCCTATCCCCTTCTGTCCCCTCTGTCCCCTCTCTGTCCCCAGCGCGGGGCTCTCCCGTGCCCGTGCCGCTGTCGCCACCTTCTGGCCACCCGGAGGAAGCGCAGCCCGGCCTCAAACCGCATTCCGCTCCAAAACCCCTTAAATAAAACAAAATAAAAATAAAGAGTCTTAAAAAAAGACTGAACTCATTCCGGCGCCGCGGCTCAGCAGAGTTTCCCGGACCGATTCATTTCGCAGCATTTTTGGGATGTTCCCGACGGCCCCGCGTTCCCCGGGAGCATCCCCAGGAGCGCACCGCACTCATTTACCGGAGCTCGAGCGTTCGTAATCGGGGAAAAAGTGTGTGTGACACTCAAACTTGGGGGAAAAAGTGTGTGTGACACTAAAATTTGGGGGAAAAAGTGTGTGTGACACTCAAACTTGGGGGAAATGTGTGTGCGACACTGAAACTTGGCGGGGAAAGGTGTGTGCGACACTGAAACTTGGCCCATTCCGTCAAATTCCAGCTTATTTTTTTTTCGTATTTCGCCCGCCGAAGCCTCTCTGGAGCGTTGGGAAGGGTTTAATGATTCCTTAAGGAATGGGAACATGCAAAGCAAATGAGCTTGGAGTAGCTTAAATCTCAATGGGGGAGTAAATGGCCGCAGCCCAGCGGACCGCAATTCAAATGAGAGCAGATTGCGGCACTGAATAAAACAACAGGGCTTGTTCAAATATTAGGAAAGACAGGGGGAAAAAAAGCTCTTGGAGAAACAAATCCTGCTGTGCTGGATGAGCTCCATGGATTGACTGATCCGGAGTTTTGTTCTGGGAGCCACCAGCATAAAATATCTGAGAAAGGTGCGAGGTACAGACACCTCATCTCTCCCGAGAGGCTGCGAATAGTTAAGGATAACACAAAAAATATACACAATAAATATGTAAGAAGTGGGTAAACTGCAAGATCAGAGCTCAACTTCATCCAATTGAACAACAATGCAGTTTTAACGGCCGAGTTTTCAATTTTGTKACTATAATTTATTAGTCGCAGTAGGGAAGAGGAGCCCAGCTTCAAAAGACAGCTCTGGGCTCACTAAAAATAAATGTAGCCCCATCAGGAATGCGTTCTGCAGAGCTGGGGCAGACTGGGTGGGAACTGGGAGGAGGTGGCACCGGTCGGGCATGGAATCCACAGGGTGAGAGGAGAATTTGCAGGTATTGTGGTTGGGGTGCTAATAATCGCTGCCATTCGTAAGCATAAAAGAGTATTCCCACCCCCCCACACCGCCATTTGAAAAGTATCTGACCTAATTATTACTATCCCTGTTGTGTAAATTCAGCACTTTGTCAGTCTGAATAAATGTACATTAGCCTTAACATGAGTGAAACAAGTTTGAACAATGAAGGCAGCTTTGTAAAGCTCTCTCGCTTTTTAACTTATTTGACACCACACTAAAGAGCCCATTTAGACTAAAGAGTTCAGCACATTTTGGGACCCATTAAATGCCCAGGTTGAGACTAGATATTCCTTTTTTTTTTTTTTTTTTTAATTTGTCCTCTCTGGTTGCTAAAGTCAGCAGAATTGAGCAACAAGCTGATTTGCATTTCTTTAGCTTTGTAGGCAAGTTGCAGAAAAGCTACACCCATCCCGGCCAGCACGGCAGGCAGGGCAGACCTCACTTATCACTGAGACTGAGGCATTCCTTGGAAWTAGTTTTAATTAAAAAAAATTGCCTTTAATTAAAAAAAAAAAAGAAGAGGAAACTCATGGCATAAAAATGTGATATTCATGACTGTCAGGAACACTTACACTGTCAAATTGTTTCTATTTTAGGATAACGACACGKAATTTAGAGTCAGGTCAGCCTTTCATAGAATTATGGAATTATTGTGGATGGAAAAGAGCTTCAGGATCACCAAATCCCACCTGTGACTGATCCCCACTTTGTCCCCAGCCTTTAATGCCATCTCCAGCCCTTCCTGGGACACCTCCAGGGATGGGGACCCCAAACCTCCCTGGGAGCCCCTTCCCATCCCTGACCACCCTCTCCATGGGCAAATTCCTCCTGAAAAAGAAGCGACAAACTCCAAGTCCATCCCAACTCCAACTCTCATCACATTTAGGATGTGGCCTGGAAAATGGGGAATGTTGAGCCTGGCTTGGCTGCAGGACAATGTAGATCAGCCCCAAAAGAGCAAAGGGGGCTGAAAAACCAGAGCAGCATCACCCTGATCATTCCCTGTCTCCATCACTGAACAAAGCACAGTTCGATTTCTGAAAGAAAGAGGCAAACAAGAGGAAACAAGGGGGAAACTGTGTGGGAAAAGCAGCAGCTCAGAGCTGAACATTTCTGCAAGGGGAAGGGGCTGTTCTTCACCAGTGAGCTCTTGACTTTGAGAAAACCTCTCACAGATACCCACAAAGGTTGGGTTCAGCTGGATGTGTCACAAAGAGCTGCCAGGGAAACATTTCAAAAAGAGAATTTCATTTTACTCAAAAGCCATAATGAAACCGGTTCTGCCCCAAATGAGATCTGTGGTCAGGCTGTAAATTGAATTCTGTCACTGACCTGTAAGAGATACTTTAATCCTCCCGAAGTTCCGTGCTTGACAAAGCCACAACTACGACATTGGCAGCAGCACCTCCCCAGGAACCAGGCAGCTGCATGAGTATTTAGATTAAAATYCTGGTTTATAGGCAGGGCTGCAGATGGATTCGGATTCCATCCCTCTTACTCATTTTGAAGCTTGGTTAAGTTTGAAGCACAGAAAAAAAACCAACTCAATTTTAATTTCTAGCTGTCAGGAAGGAATTCTATCAGCTCCATCCTCCAGAAGGAAATCCACGCTGTCTAGCAGTAATCAGTTCCATTTGTGACCCTCCCAACAAAACACTTCTTGTCTGTGATTTGTATTCAGCTTAGGACACACTGATTCCAGACCCTCTGTGGATTGTAATGCCTCAACAGTACTTTTCTTTTTAAATGCAACCAAGAAATTATTTGGCAGGCTCTGAATCTGGAGCAAAATCTSCCAATTTGTGTCTGGGCTGCACAGCCAGGCAGGACCCTCACAGACAACTCTGTTCAGTTCAGCTAAGAATAGGACATGAGTAAGAAACATTTTAATMTATCAAGCATCATGTTTTGAAGGGAACTGCCAGCTTTTTTGGCCAATTTGACTGGCATGTGATGATCTCATGGTGTGGAGGCTGCAGTTCTGAGCACTGGTAACGGGCTGAGCTCTGCTGGGTCTGGATGTGGGAACACCCTTGGGTTTTGGGATTCAGAGGCACCAATTTGGGAAGGATTGAAGCTGTTCCTGTGCTCCCAGGATGTGATTCAGGATACAGAACCTCACAGCCCCATTCCACTCGTGCACCCCTGGGCCAGGTTTCACCAGCAATGAAGGAAATTGCTGCATTTCAGCCCAGTCCCCAGTGGGCAGGTTGACACCACAAAAACAGCCCCTGTTACACAACWGCCACTAACTGGATCCTTTTTGAGGCTTTCCAGAAGAGAACCCAAGGCTTGAACAGCATGGAAACAAAACCAACTGTCCCATGAATTCCCYAGAACAGCCCCATGGGTGCAGTGCTGCGAGAGACTCGTGTGGCATGTGAAAAAACACAGATTTCAGATCCAAAAACTTCTGCAGCTCTCAACTTTCACCAGCATTCAAATTCACCTACATTAAAAGAAAATTAAATTGCCATCTCCAACAAAAAAAGCAAACCACAACAAAGCAAAGATCCTCCAGCAAACTATTGCCTGGAATCCATTAAAAGTTGCCAAGTCAACGTTCCAGTGCCCACTGCCCATCCCGGGCTGCCAATGGCACAAGTGGCACTTTGGGCTCCTCTGCTGGGCACCAACTCGGGCAAGAAATGCATCACAGGAAAAAACTGATCTGTGCCAGCAAGATTTCACATGCCAGCAAGATTTCACATTCCTTCCCAGCTGGAGTTTTGTAAAGAGAAGGAAAAGCCCCCACTGAAAACACTTCTATAAATCATAAACGTCTGAAGAGCTCTGTCCACCACGAGGGGATGGTGGAATATTGGACACAACCCTGGCAGGAGATAACAAACCCAGGGGTAGAGGAAAAAGGAGTCAATGATTTGTTCTTAAAGATGAGCAGAGCAGAGTTAAAAAAAGAGTCACTATTATGGCCCAAARGGCAGGAAAACCTGTGACCAACAGTCTGATTTATCACTGAGAAAAGAGAAGCAAAACTGCTTATTGTGTTTCCTTGTGTATTTTTTAGCAAAGTAACAGCTAAAACGAAAGCATGAAATTAATTTCCTTTAGGATTTATAACCAGAAGAAAAGTGTAGTCCTATAAAACACTAACATGTGCTTTCMAACAGAATTAAATTGCAAATCAAAGGCCTGCCATGGGACACCTTGTTCATTATCTGCAAGCAACAAATAATAAAGGATAATAATGAGAAGAATACAGAACAAGGAGAACAAAGCTGATTCCCAGCCATGCATACAAAATGTGGCTGAATGCTTCCTGGAAGCTCCAGCAAACCTCAAACTGTTTGATGTGCGTTCACATCTCTGGAAAACAAAAATTCTTACCACCATATAAATCCYACAGCAAGCCAATTTTTAATTACACCTATCAAAATAATAATGAAATCCCAGCAYTTTCATTCAGCATGTTTGAATCACRGAGACCACCTATGCAAATATCAACACAGCATTTGAATCTCCAGCTAACTACTGCCAATTATAAATGGGGACACTTTAAAAAATAAATTATGAGGATAATTAATCATTTTCACACACAAAGGTAACAAGGTAACATCAGGCCGTGGTTTTTAAAGCCTCCTACTTTCTGCATTTCTMTTCTGGTTAGATTGTGCCAAGATTAGAAAAGCAGATTTCAATTTTAGAAGAGGGAGAGAGGAAAGTGAAAAACTTTTCCCCCTCCCTCTGGTCATTCCAGGCAGGAATTATTGGATTCCAACATTAACAAGGGAATATTCTACTGTTAAAAACGGGCTACAACATGGATAAGAATGTTGCACAAGCTTTTTCATGTATGTGCTCTCATCTATTGTCAAAAGGTAAAATATTTTAAAATACCTACAGAACTTTTTAGAAATATATACTTGAGAAACAAAAGAGCATTATTTCTCTTTTTGCTGTCATGAAGTTACAGAGGGTTTGAATTCTGTAGTAATAACTGCAATTCCAGTGGTGACACAAATCAGTAAGAGGAGAACAGAAACTTCTCCTGAGGACACAGCCACTGTGACTGAAGGTGCCAACAGGAAGAGAAAAGGAGAATTTGTGTGCAAAAAATCCAACATTTCAGAGCGAGATCTGCTGCTACCACGTGGATTCTGCTGGTGTACTCCTTATTTACCACCAGGTTCATCAGCTATGAACAGGTTTACAACCAACTTACACAGTGAGTAACTGCAGATTAGGATCAGATCACCACAAAGTTCTGTATCAGAGGTACAGAGCACGGCCTGGGGGAGCAGAGCAGCAATGGATGCTCCACTGAGGCTCCTCATTGTTTCAGAAATAGTAAGCTGTGTGAGTAACCCAGTTGGAACACTCCTCCTTGGAACGTTTTGCTGAGCTGTGAGTTGTAAAAATAGATTTGTAAGCCTCAGACTTGTCCTCGCTGTCTGCAATGGATCTCTTGGTGGTGCTGCTGCTGGAAGAAGCTTTATTGACTTTTCCTGGGACTGATGGATTTCCATTCTCTGCRAGGGAAAAATGAATAGAATGAAGCATGAGAGCTTAAAATGGACACAAGTATTTAAATAAAGATGAAAACCAGTGTTTGACAATTAAAATATACATATTTTCGGGGTCTATCATAAGTATCTCCCACAATTGCACTCAACAGGTTTTAGAATTCACACTCCAAATACATTCAGAAATCTTCAGAGAGGAATTCTGTAAAGTTCATACTGATGRTATTTATTCCTCTGAGTGAGAACTGGCTCTGAGCTGGGCTCTGAAGCAGCACAAAAGCCTCCCCCAGCCTGCAGTATTGTTCAGAAATCAGCTATCAAATGCCAAAAGCTGAACTTGGGCCACTCCTTCCCCAGGGAACCCCTCTGCTCCCTTCATTCTTTTCCCACTAACAATGGTCAGCATCAGTTTATATCTGCAGTGGGGAAAATAATTTCAATATATTTTATCTCCTGCTACACAAAAACCCCTCTTTTTCTTGACTATTTCATCTCCCAAGTTGCAGGATGGTAGTTGAAAAAGCCAAGTCTCTGGTGCAAAGAAATGAACACAGAAGTTTGCAGAAATTTGATTTTCTGAGACAAATCCAGGCACAAGAGCTCACAGGAATTGTGTGTGCCACCCCAAACCCTGCCAGAATTGTCTGTGCCATCCCAAATCCTCCCAGAACAGTGTGTGACATCCCAAACTCTCCCAGAATTGTGTGTGCCATCCCAAACTCTCCCAGAATTGTGTGTGACATCCCAAACCTTCTCAGAATTGTGTGTGCCACCCCAAACCTTCTCAGAATTGTGTGTGCCATCCCAAACCTTCTCAGAATTGTGTGTGCCACCCCAAACCCTCTCAGAATTGTGTGTGCCACTCCAAACCTTCTCAGAATTGTGTGTGCCACCCCAAACCCTCTCAGAATTGTGTGTGCCATCACAAACCCTCTCAGAATTGTGTGTGCCATCCCAAATCTTCCCAGAATCATGTGTGCCAACCCAAACCCTCCCAGAACAGTGTGTGCCATCCCAAACTCTGCCAGCTCAGACCCTTTTCAGATCTGCAGGGTTTTTGTAATGCCACCAGCAGTTGTCTGGAAGGAACTGCCAAACCCTGGAGTGTGCAGAAGGCAAGCCCAGGATCCTCAGGGTGCCATGTTCACAAATTCATCCCATCAACTGCCATTCCTCATGGATTTTCCTTTATTTTCCCTCTCCCATTAATCTCCTGCTGGTCAATAGAACAACTTCAAAAAGCATTTTCTTTTTTCTTTTACACCCTCAGAAAATCAAAAACTCGTTAAACACTGTTAGAATTATGAGGTTGCTCAACATCCAGCAGCAATTATAATCATCTGGGATGAAATATTTTTATATTTTATCTCCTGCATAAAAGCAGACAGTAGAGGGCAGGTCAAGCATTGCTGATGGAATTTCAGCTTCTCCCAATTTATCTACAGATCATCATTCTCAGATTCTTCAAATTATTCTGATTTTTCCTGYGGCTGTTAAGCACAGGATTTAATATTTCCCACAGAAACTTCAGACTGACCTTAAAAATGTACCCCTGAAAATATCAGTGTGGAGACATGAAACAGCAGAAGAAATGTTAAATCAATAGAAGGCACCATTCTTTGGGTTTTTTTAACTTTTCCAAGTTAACTCAAAGCTTCAAGGCTGCTGTAGGTTCATCAGTGCATCCTAAAGTCCTGTTGCTCTGTTCCCAAGGACACACAGCAAATCAGCAGATAAAGAGGATTAAAAGTCAAATTATCTGGGATTTTTAACATACTTCATCCAATTAAAGTGCCAAAATACAGTTTTTGACCAACTGTACATCAGGGAATTGCTAATTTTCCTCCACTACCTCACAGCCAAGAAAAGAGATCCACCAGATTTCACTGTGTAAATAATAATCTCTAAATCTCATTAATTGTCACCGACTTAAAGCAAGATTAGAATGACACAAACAAGCAAATCTGTTCTCATCTGTCACATTGAGATTAAACACCAACCTGAACTTTTGGTGAAGATAATCTGCCTGTTTTCCCCCGAGCTGGAACTGACACAATCCTTGTCATTCTTAACTTTTGAGGGGCCTGGAGAATCTAAAAAGAATTAAAAAAAAAAAAAAGAAATATATAAAAAAATGGAAAAAATAATCCTGAATCAGCTTCAAGAGAAGGTGACACAGAATTTGGAGCTGTGACATTACCTGCAGAGGTTTCCTGCTGAGAAGCTGCTGCTGCTGCTGCTGATTTGCCTTTCTTTGATTTCTGAAACAACACAGGCAGAAATCTGGTAATTCACTGAAGGAACATAAAACTCCCAGCTCATATTTGATAGACAAACAATTGAATTTAGTACATTTTTATGCCTTGCCCAGTGGAGCTTTTCTTTCCACATTTTTGGTATTATTTCCACATGGCAAAATGAGTAATTTGGGGAACCCTGTGGCTACATTAAAGAAAATCGTGCAGGAGAAAATTGGATTTGTTTGGATTCAGTTTTCTGTTTGGATACTTTTAAAGTGGGGTGTGTTATTACCATTAACTGATAATCTGAACCCACAGAGCAGGACAGTAAATTAAACATTAGTAAGACACAATTGTATTCAATAAAGAAGCTTTTCTATAAAAAATTTCATAAGATTCCTGAATCTCATATCCACTAAATTTTGTTTAATCCATAAAAAAATCCTTCCTGGGTACCAGTCAATAACTGGACCCTCTGTTTATTGGAAAGATGCGAATAGTTAATCTAAATTTTTTAAAAGCATTTGTGCAGCAGATTTTCCAAATTAAGTTATATTTGTCCTGACTWAAAAACACAGAAAAACCCAGCAAGAATCCCATTTCTGGCTTTGATTACATAAATGCCAAGCTGAAAAAGAAAGATACACTGGAACAGTAATTAGCATTATCCTCACAAAGATGGCTGGRTACATCCTGAATTGTGTATGTGCTTCAAGACAGCTGCACAAACTCAGAGAAAATATTTAATTACATTCTGAAAATCAAGGGAACTCCTGCTGTGAAGCAAAGGATTAAGGCTTGAGGGCAAAACCAGCACAGCAAATGTTGCTGCAAAGCTGAGCCAGGAGGTGGTGGCAGAGGATTGTGGCTCTGATGCAAATTTGGCTCTCCTGCTGTCACACCAAGGGAATGATTCGGGTGGGAAGGACCTTAAAGCTCATCCCATTCCACACCTTCCACCAGACCAGGGTGCTCCATTCCCATCCAACCTGGCCCTCAGGTGCCTGGAAAACCAGGGCATTTCCACCTTTTATTACGGGAGGATTTCCAAAGAAAAGTCACCTCCCAGATGTTTGTAGTGATACAGATGTGCATGGTCATTATGCATAAAATAATTATAGAGACAGATTTCATCATGGGCATATGTGACACAGTGGAGTTTGAATTATTTTTAATTTTAATGCCAGCTGCATCTTCCTGATGTTTTGTCTCCTGGGATAAAGAAGTTTGTGCTTCCTGCTCCAAACACAGCAGGTCCACTGAGCCTGCCTGGAAGGCAGTGAGGGGAAAGGGCAGCAAACTGGGAATTGTGCTGCACACTGGGACTGCAGCTCACAGATCCCAGTTCAGAGACCAGCTGAGGTAACTGGAAATCGTGCTCCTCATTGGGATTGCAGCTCACAGATCCCAGTTCAGGGACCAGCTGGGGCACCGAGGTCACTGCTGGAGGCTGAAATCCAAGAGCTGCTGAGAGATTTGCAAATGCTGCCGTGTCACTGTCCACCAACCAAACCAACACCATTTGCATGTTCACCCAGAGCCCCAGGGTCACCCTAAAAGCCACAACTGCCCTGCACACTCAGGTACTTCTCTGCTGTGCAGAAGATTTCAGGTTATTCCAAATTATTTGACCCAAAACTGTTTGTTAGGGCTCTGTTCCCAAAGAAAACTAAAKGCAACCAACCACTGCTTCTGGAGCTGAGGATTCATCTGCTGACATCTGCAATAATCTATCATCAAATTATAATATATAATATATATTTTTTCCAAATACATAGTATTTTTAATTATAAAAACAGAATATATTTTCCTATATATAATTTTTTTCTAAACCTGTAATTACAAAGTACTAAGGGGGGGGGGGAAAAAAAAAAAGAAAACCCATCTGAATAGACACCATGAGATTATCACTCTTATGCCAGAAGCTACAGACACGACATGCAGAGACTCTGAAAAACAGGAAACAGAACAGCAGGATTTTCRTGGAAAACCATCCTTTTGATGTATTGCCCAGGCCCAGTGACGCTGTATTGGCACAGATGAATGAAGCCCCTGTGATGAGAAGGAATCATGTGCTCCCTGGCAAGTAAACAAGTATTTGTTTTAAAACAAACCAGGGAAATATTTGCATGCCATGTAATCGTAGAGCAGACAAAAGCAAGGGCTGCAAGCTCCATCTCCAGTCTCAGATGGTGAAAGCATCAGACAGTGATTCATGATGCTGAGACCCAGCAAAGTCAGAGCATCCTGAGTCAGCACTGAAGGTTTGCTTGGTTGGCATCCTCTGGGAAGCGATGGCAGCTCAGGGAAAATGGCAATAGTGAAAAAATCCCATRTTCAGAAGGGTCATTTGAGAGCTCAGCAGCACAGAAGAATCACAGCTCACAGGGCAGAGCAGCAGAGCTGACAGCAGAGCTGCAAGGACTTCATTTCTACTGCATTTTACCTCGTCAGATAAAAACATTGCAAAGGCCTCGGCAGTACGGTGGGAATTAGCAGGGGAATAATTGCTSAGGACTGTGAGAACCACAAAACATGATAAATTTCCACACTCTTACAGCAGCAGCCCAGGAATGCACAGATCCCAATATCCTGTTTCTGACAGAGGCTGATAAAAGCCACTTGGAGATCCAAAAMCCGATACCATCACAGCAACTGCCATGAGAAACAGAGGGATGATGTAGCTCRTTACCAGGATGAATTAATTCCAAAAAAAGCCTCAAGGATTGCTGGCACAGTGCCCATTTTACCCATTCTGAGGACACAAGGCACTGCTTGCTGCTCAGGAGGAAGTTTAGGGTGCACAACTTTGGGGTGTTCTTGGCAAAATACACACACAATCCCAGTGCTTTTAATATAACAGCTCATGGAGGAAATTCTTCCAGGTGCATAAAGATTAGTCAATACAAGAGCAGGTTCATTGCAGACAAGAATTCTTCCAAATTTATACTGAATAATGKATAAAAATCTTACCTTTTCTAATTTACTTTTAAGTCTTCTCTCCTCCATCCTTTTCTTCAGAATTTCYACATCTTCTTTACTGCCATTAAGGACAATCACATCTTCCTCTTGAAAGGGRACACCACACTTCATGGAAAAAACAGAACAAAATTGCATATTTATTTCTCTGTCTCCTATAACCAACACTCTGAACTAATTCTTCTTTTATTCATGAAGAAAAAGATCCCTTTGTGTATTTTCTGTTCATGGCTTTCTTCTTTTACTGGCACAAATGTACTTAAAGTATTCCTATTAGAATCTACTCAATCKTCTGAACTCCACAGCTAAAACCCAAAAGTACTTTCCGATTTTTAATTATAAATGCATTTTATTAAGATCTTGATGCCATTCTGCTTTAGAATTTGTCTTTCAACTTAGTGAGATAAGAAACAACAACTGATAGGAGCAGTTTCTTTACACTGACCATGGACAACACCAAAGATGTTATTCCTCTACATGTAGGACACACAGCAAATTTTTCTCTTTACTTGGTAGACAGGAAAATCTGAAGGTGTTTTATTTTTATTGATTAAACAAACAAACAAAACTATTATTATTGTTGTTGTTATTATTATTATTATGTTACTGTGGGGATAAAAAGGGCTCATAAAAGCAGAATAATTCATTACCTCACCTCGCTGTCTCCCTGGATTGTATCACAGAGACCAYGGCCTTATCTGATTTATCAAACACTCCCAAGTTTCCAACTACTTTCACAAATTAATCTGGATAATGGCTGTAATGGGCTCTGTGTACTTCCACATTTGTTTCATGGTTGAAGGCACAGATGTTTCCCTGTGCACATTTGCAATCATTTGATGCACCRGCACACTGACCATGATGTTTTCTTGTCCAAAATCTCAATTTGCTTTCATTTTTTGGTTGTTTTTGGGGTTGTCTTTTGTTGGTTGGTTGGTTTTGGAGTTCCTGTTTTGGTTATTTTGTTAAATGCAGACGCTTTCAGCTAATCTGCATGATTAATTTATAATCCTGCCWCTGCCATTACTCTTCYTTTTCYAAACAAAGGTTTRGGAAGGTTACTCTTGTAYTTGCAGTWGGAATTAAACAAATGAAAGGACATWTGGGCAGGACTCTGCTCGAGTGCTGAGCACAGCTTCAAAAACRAACCTGAACCCAGGAGATTGAGAGGGGAAAGGAAAGGAGGGTTGGAGAGAAGCACAGGAGCTCAGGCAGGCAGGAGCTGAAGTCACACCCAAGAAATGGAGGAGCAGCCCATAATTTTCCATTTCTGCTCAATGAGAAATCCCAGCCTGGTGTGATCTCCCACTTGGGARTGAGAAGGCTCCAAAATCCAGAATTTCAGCCTTCATTCTGAGGTAGGATCTGGCAGCTGACCCAATTCTAAAGAAGCCTCACAAACTCATTTCTAGCAGGGCGTTTCCAAATCCAGCATTTTTAACAACATTCTCCCAGTAGCATTCTCAATAAATGTTGCATTTTGAAAGAACAACCAAACCCAGGTTCCCATCTGCAAAACACAGGTGGAACTGCTCAAAAATGAAAASTATTTACAAGAAACAGGGGAAATAAAGGCAGTGTTCTCTTCCCGTTGCCTGAAACATAATTTTTTGCCATGACAACATTGGATTATGTCACAGAGACCATAATTTTCCAAACATAGTTTAAGCACAGTAATTACAGGGATAGGAGCATCTCCACATTCCCAGGCTTCACCAACACAATTTGTTGTTGGATCACACATGTGCATCAAGTGTCAGTTCTGCTGGACGTAATTAAATTCTGATTTTGTAAGAAGCAAAAAGGGGAAGATTTTTAGCTCAGCATTTTAATGAGCTAAAAAGCAAAAAGAAATCTGAGTTCTGCAAATTCTGAATGATTGTTCTTTAAAGGTCTTTTAGGGCAAATGTTTGTTTTATGGTATCACAGGGTCTCCTTTGCTGTACTTTGTTTATCTTGGGACTTTAAATATATGTGAAGGTACTTGCTGTAGTTCTCAGCACCTTGAATAGAGGACATTCCTAAATTAGAGATTTCGTATCTCTTTTTAAAGTATAAAATACAGGATTTTAAAAGTAATAATTAAGTCTTGGTTTAAGATCATTTCCTGAATTCTAGAGTTTACAGTTTATGTTCCAGCTGCCTAAGACAAGAGTTGTACCTTATTTCTTGCTGTAAACTACATTGACACATTGATTTTTCTTTTAYAGCATCTAAAACTTAATTCTGTGCATGACTACTCCAGTCTTAATAACATACAAATAAACAACAGGAAAATATGTTTTCATATCCAAATGTTTACACCAGTGCTACAGTTCAGCACCTTCAGAGAAACCTCAAACCTCTTTAGCAAATTTTAAACACTGAGTTCCTGCAGTCCTCCTGAACGTGGCCATTAGTGGGAAATTCATGATTCCCATYGGGATATGGAACATGGATGGCCACAAGATGATTGTCCCTCTTTAAACAGGGCAGGTATTTAGGAAAAGGTTTAAATACCCATGGATCATCTCACTGTTCATCTCCCAACCACACAAGCTCGTGCATTCAAGATTGTTGTTGCTTCCCACGGTTAATTAAAACACATTTTAAAAGAGAGAATTTTCCAGCGGTTTATCCATTAAAAGTTCAGTAGTGTGAGATTTGCTGAACATGTTTTTTTACATTGTCACCCAACCCAGACATGCAATGGGTCAGAGAGTAAAGGACAACTTGGGAGCAGTGGAAATTTCCCACCTACTGATTCACAGAACATGAACTTTCACTCAGGAGCTGCAGCCTCCACTAAAAAACCACCCCGAGACAAAGCCTCAATTTGCAGAGTTTCTCTTAAAATCAGTGATCATTTTGTACCTGGCACACCTGCAGCTGTGCCTTCACTTACTTTGAGGTTTTCTCTCTATTTCTGACCAGCATGGTATTTTTATCAGAACGTTTCCTCCCAATCCCAGTATATTTAAGCTCAACTTTCCACTTTATTAAACCCCTCAAAAGCCTTTAAAAGGCTGGAGCAGTAAACACTCTGTGAAGAATGATTCCAAGGAACTTACTCTAGGCAGGTGAAGTAAAGCACACCTTTACAGGCACAGAGAACTCACAGGRGTTAACAGCTCCAGGTCTGCCATTTACAGGGGTTTATCATTTGACAGTTGTGGTGGCTTCCCTTGTTTGTTTGCTTATCTAAAACTCACATTTTTAAGGGTTGGGGTCTTACACAATTTGTGGTTTCTTTATGTCCTGGTTACAAACACGGCACACAGCRCACACTGGATTTTATTGTTACAAGATTTCTGTTTATAGCCATGCTTCCTTACGATGTCCTTCTGTTTCCTATCCATTACAACATAACTCGTTTTTCCAGCTTTTCTATCAGTTCCACTTCTTATTTTCTCGGCCCACCAGGGCTGGACTTTTTCTGACAGAAACGTTCAAACTCAGCGGTCAGTGTGGGAAACCTCTTCCTTCTTATCTCCCCCCACCAGGGCTGGACCAAATTTTGCAGAAGTGGCAACAGTGACACTSAAACCCCTCCTTCCTTATCTCCTTAACCCACTCAGGGCTTGAGACCCGATGGTTACATTTGTAACACGCACTCACACTTCATTCTCCAGCRAACTTAATTCTGATAATTTACACCTTAATTTTTCTGCTAATTGACACCTTCATTCTGGCAACTTACACCTTCATTCTTCTGCTAACTCACACCTCAATTCTGGTAATTTACACCTTAATTCTTCTGCTAACTTACACCTTCATTCTGCTAATTTATACCTTCATTCTTCTGCTAACGTACACCTTCATTCTTCTGCTTACATCTTAATTCTTTTGCTAACTAGTACTTTAATTTTTCCGCTAACTCAGGCTAAGGTGTTTATCCCAAGTGAGGTTATTTATTCTCCTCTCAGCCTGCAGCCCATGGAAATGCCCGGCAGCAGCAGCAATTCCCTGCCGGAGCTTTTCCAGGCTGGAAAATTTCGGCAGAGGAATAGTTAAARGCAGGGGGAGGAGGAGGAGGAGGAAGAGGAGGAGGCAGGTTCGCAGTTCTCCCTCCAGCGGAGCAGAGGGACACAGGTTAAAGGCTCGGGGCTAAAGGAATTATTTCCAATTCCCTGCAATGTTCTCTCCGCATCCCCCCGTGTGATCRCAGCCCTTTCCAGGCTGGAGAAGTTCTCCCCTTTCGCTGCCAAGACAGAGCTGCAGGAGCGGAGAATTCCTGCGGGATAAATATGCTAAACATTGCAGGGAGGCAGCGGGAGTCGGGATGAAAACATTCCCGTTTAATGGTTAACCTCTGCCRGGGGATCGGGATGAGGGACACCGGCTCCTGCTGAAGGACAATGACACCCTGCAGTTATCTTTATTATGCTGCCGTCTCCTGGCTAATTCCGCACGAGGTAAGGCTGCATCAATTCCATCGGGGCGTTTCGGTTGTTTGCTTTTTCTTTAGGTAAAGTGGCGATTTCGCKTCAAAAATTATTCCAATCTGCACTAAAGTTAGTATTTTTTTTCCCTTCTTTACTTTTCCTTCCTTTATTCTTTGTCACGGATGCGGAGAAGGATGGAGGTCATTATTACTAATTTGCATTATAAAAATCACGTTATTTATTGCAACTTAGTTTTTTTACAGCTTTAAACTTAAGGGTTTAAACAGCCTTCACAGCATTTGTTTCAAATTACTGTGAGGTCAAATTCACAAGGAAAAAAGAAACCCAGGAAAAATAGCAAARACGAACACTAAAACTCCATAAATTTGTTGGATACGTATCAGTAAGTTCTAATGCAATGTTAATGTTTGTAAATAAGAACGATTTGAATAACTGGGTTTGATAAAGAAATGTTTTTATTCAATGCGTCTCAAAATCCAGAAGCAGACTCCTGTGTTCTGACCCCCTCCTTAAACAAAAAATAAAGCAATAGAAAAAGCACTTAAAAGCACTGATTTAAATATTTTTAAAATGATTGAATTAGTCCTTCCCTGTTTATAAAATGTCTGCATTAATGCCTGCATAAATACATTAAAAAAAAACAAAAAACCAAACAAATCCAGATACAAAAAGAGTTGGAAATAAGTATTTAATGCCTTTTCAGCATTTTATTAGAAGATGATGCATTCACAAGTCATTTGTCTCACTAAATGACGAGGTCATACGAAGCAAACTTTATCTAAACTTTAATATTAGGCAAATGCAAAGAGCTCAGAGAAAACAGAATGTCTGGAGGTGCAGTGATGCAGTCCTAAATGCAATGGCAGGAAGAGAGAGCAAAAAGCAAAATGGGTTGTTACAACAAAATGCACAGTGCTAATGGGGTCTCAATGAGCTGAGCTGACATTTCACARGCTTTTTCAAGGCCTCATCATAATTCCCTTTGCCTCTAGAGTTTACTTTGTTAATTGAGATGGAGTATCTCAGCCTTGCAACAATTTTCTGTTAAGTAATATCCTTAAAAGCATCCACAGAGGTGCTTGAAAACCCCTACATCTTTTTTTTTTTCCTGAGAACGTCACATGCTACTGGCAGGATTTTTAAAAATTAACACAACTTCATCCTCCAGCTTTAGAAAACCYATGCATAACATACAAAATGCTGAGTTTCAGAGACATTCTGCTAACAAAAAATACCTTTCATGGCAYCCTTGCATAATAAAACTCAAGGGCAAGGCTGTCCCAGACTGGGTTATGCCTGGACAGTGGACATTCCCAATTGGATCTCTTGCTCCTCAAGGGCAGGAGAATAATAATAAATAATAATAAACCTGGCAGAATAATCCTTGCCAGCACACAGGGGTGACAGGATCCTKCTAAACAACAAATTTCATGTCTGGTGGCACTGACAGCTGCAATTCCAGCTCTAAATCTGGTCAAACACTCCCAAAAAGCTGCTGCTTTCATTCTGTAATATCCCCCGAGGCTGAAAGATGTCAGATTGTGTTCTTGCAGGCCAGGCTTCATCACTCAGCCATTCCCCATAAACATGTTAACGCTGGAGAGGAATTGCTGCCTCTTACCTGATAATGGGCTGCTTGTGTAGTTTTATGCTGCCATAAAAATACAGTTTCTAGATGTCACCCAGTCCAGTAGGAAAAAATCCATAATAAACACTTAACAGCCCGAAACAGMCCCAGAAGCTGTTATTTGAAAGGTAATAAAAATGCAAGTGGATGAAACCAGCAGGTTACAGCTTGGCTCCTCAGAATTACATTTTGCAGCCTGTTCAAACTATATTTAAGTAAAAAAACCTGCCAAGCACCCTCATTCTGGACAGATTCAGAGAATATTCCAAGTTGGAAGGGACCCACAAGRACCACTGGGTCCAGCTCTCAAGTAAATGACCTGTCCAGAGAGTGAACCCCATAATTTGGGTGTTGTTTTATATTTGATCAGGTATAAAATCCCAAATCTTCCTGTTTTCTTATATTCAGAATGAACCATCCCTGAGACATAGCAGAGATCTCGTGATATTCWCTATTCAGAGCAATCTCTACGCTCYTCCTGCAATAATTCCCTCAGAATAAAGAGTTTTTTTCCGAGTCCAGCTCCACAGAAATCAGTATTTTCCCCAATTTCAGCCCTGGGTACGCAATGCTCCACACAGAAATCCCCTCTGGACTCTGGCACAGCATCCAGCAGAGATGAATTTCATTTTTACTACAAAAATCCTGCTTTTCACCTTGCTGCAGCACCCCTGTTCTGCATCCAAAGGCTGACACAGACTGGATTTGCTGTATTTTTTTGTTCAGATGGAAGGAAAGCTCCCATCAAGGTTGTTTACCCAGTAAACGGATCCCTGAGGAGCTCCAAGGCAAAAACATTCTCCTGGGACCTGATTTCCTCATGTTTTTCTTTGAGCTTGCTGASAGAACATCCCGGGAAAATGGACAAACCCTCCACCTAAAGCACAGCTCCTCCTTCGGGAATGCTCAGTGGAAAAGAGGCACTCATCCAGCATGAAATCCAGTGCATACCAGTAAGGACCAAAAGATAAATACATTCTTTCCCAACAGCCTAATAAGATCTTAAAAATGTGGTGAGATAGAGGATCCTTTCCCTTGGTTCAATTTGTGCTTGAATGTTTTTTGAATTTTGCCTCGCTGCTATTTTAACTACAATGCCCTCTCTTTTTTCAAGCTTTTAAGGGAGATACTGATTTTTCATTAAAAAAAGGATTTTCCACTTCTTTCTAATGAAAACCTTGAGCCTTCTAACCACAGCAGCATTCTCATAATGAAAYTACCATTATAAAAATACTATTTTTCTCTCTTCCTATGCAAAGCCAAATGCTTTGTGATTTTGACAGCTGCAAAATGAAAAATATTTCAAGGTGAAATGCAAATTTTGTTTACAAAATCGTTTACTAAAAAAAATTAACTATCTTTAAAATGAAAATATTTTAAAATTTAACTGTTAAGCTTGATTGCAGCTAATGGACCTTCTGCTTGGTATTTTCTCAGGAATTTTGATACGAAATGCTTCAAAAATCAAGACTTCAGGTAATTGCTGTGGGATTCAGGACTGCACTCTCACTCTTCTGACTCTTCAACAAGGTAAATGAAAGGAAAAAAAAACCACAGTGGAAAAACTCCTGTGCCAATATGCTGTAAATTGGTTATCTCWGAATGCCAATAGTGGCACTTGTGTCCTTATCTCAGAGCATGCATATGTGCTAAAAATAAGAAATRAGCGTTGTCCCCATGTCCAGTTTTCCAAAGCAGTAATACAAAGATGTCAGAGGGAAAAAAAAAAAAATCTCCAAGTCAGAAAYGTTTGCTGACTTTATAAGGATAAAACCCAGAGTATTTTGTGGATTACGTTTTAGTCTCTTCCTTCTGTTTATTTAATAAGTTTTCTGTTGATTTAATTTACTGAATTCTGATCCTCTGGCGGAACTTCAGGTTTCCCAGGCTTGAGGAAATCTCAGCAGCAGCTGCTCCTCAGGAGCACTCAGAGCTCCCAAATTCCCTGGGGCCACCACCTCAAAACCCAGGAGACTCCCACCTGATGGGCTGAGCCCCCCTTGCTCAAGCAGTGAAGAATTCAAAACCATTTGGGGTTCTTTTGTATCATTTTGAGATAATTTTGTCTTGGAAAGACAGAATTTCTGTTTTGTGGTTCTGTGAGTTCCATTCCCAGGGCTGAGTGTGAAATAATTCCAATATTTATAAATGCAGCACTAACACGGCATCTATTCTAAAAAAAAAAAAAATTAACAGAAASGTTCTCTCCCTCTATCTCACTKTTCCTTCAGATGATCTGAATAATTAATTGGACTATGATAACAAGACAGGATCTTGAAATAAAAGATGAACCCACTTCATGCAAAGAAATCAAGATTTTTAGTGTGTCTTGCTGTCTGTACGTTCATCTACACCTTCATCTACCTAAAGGTTCCACTTTACGAAGATTCAAATGACCAAAAGTTTCGTGTCAAAGAAGCAGAGTGTGGTTTTTACCCGGATGAACTTTGCTCAGCTCTTTTTGTGGGGAAGCCTGCTGCCTTTAGAATAGGAAACTTCTGTCAGAAATCCTACCAGCCCAAACCACTGAGCTGCATTCACACTCCCTGCAGCTGCCCCACAGTCCTGAAGACTCTGCATTTTATCACCAAACCACTGTCAGATGAGGAAGGAAATTTCTCCTTGGCGTACATTATTACAATTCACAAGGAGCTGGAAATGTTTGTGAGGCTGCTCCGAGCTATTTATATGCCTCAGAATATTTACTGCATCCACATTGATGAAAAGTCACCCAGAGATTACAAGACTGCTGTAGAGAACATCGTTAACTGCTTCGAAAATATTTTCATTTCCTCAAAAAGAGAACACGTTGTTTACGCAGGGTTTTCAAGATTACAAGCTGATATTAACTGCATGAGAGACCTAGTGAATTCCAAAGTTCAGTGGAATTATGTTATTAACCTGTGTGGTCAAGATTACCCCCTGAAAACAAATAAAGAAATTATTCAATACGTGAAAAGCAAGTGGAACGGGAAAAATATCACTCCTGGCATAGTGCAACCACTTCATGTGAAACACAGGACACAGGTCAGCTACAGGGAATACGTCCAYTCTGGAGTGCCATACGTGTACCCAGCAAAGAGCAGGAAAAGCAAACCCCCACACAACCTCACCATCTATTTTGGCAGTGCCTATTACATCCTCACCAAGGACTTTGTGCAGTTCACACTGACTGATGTCCGGGCAAAAGCTCTGCTGGAGTGGTCCAGGGACACCTACAGTCCTGATGAGCACTTCTGGGTCACCCTCAATCGTTTGCCAGGTAAGAGTTTGTTATTTCTGCCATCAATCGTTTGCCAGGTAAGAGTTTGTCATTTCTGCCACAAATAACAGGGAGAGGTTTGGAGCTCCAACTGGGAGATGAACAGCACTGAATTGCAGAAATAAAGTCATTTCTTCAGCCTCAGTGCTTCCCTTTTGAAAGTCATGTCTGGTGGCTGTGAAGCAAAGCTTGATTCCAGGGAAGTGCTACTTTCAGTGCAGGCCTCGAGSTAGAAAAATGCTGATGAAAAAGTTTTTTTGCTGCATGAAAGCTTCTGCACGCAAGGAATAAAAAAAAGCAATARTACTGAGAATTATGTCCTTGTGATGTAAATATCTACAAATAAATTCTCCATCTGACCATAGTTAAATGCCTTCAGCAGTGAATATTTTCCCTGAAATGAGTAGAAAAGAATCTTATCAGAGCCTTCTGTTTTTTAAAGATGCTCCAGGGGCTACACCCRATGCAGGCTGGCAAGGAGACCTAAGAGCCATTAAATGGAAAGATCAAGAAGGATCCTCCCACAAAGGCTGCAAAGGTAACGTCAGTTTTGATCATGAGCTCGTTTGATTCACTAATGAGCATTAATTGGTGATTACATATTATTTAAAGCAGCTATTAAATGTGCCTCAGTGGTCATAGATAATTTGTTTTGAAAGTATCAAATAAAAATGGGTACCCTTCTAAATTACTGTACTATATCCAATTAAAGAGATGTTGAGATATACATAATATTAACATATATACTAATTGTATATTTTTTATCATAATTGAGATGGATATTTTATATTCTATATATTTTGGGGTAATCACGGTATCCATACACTGACAACTCTTCTTTCAGCCCCCAATTACCAACACAGTTTTCAATGGAGGGGCTTTACCTGACAAGGATATTTGCATCAACATTGGGGTAAATCCTTTCAATTTGAACACCAATTAAAAAGAATAGTGCTGACCACACGGAAAGCACGCAGAAGTAATTAAAATCTGTGAGTGTGCAAGCACTGTGTGATTGAACAGGAGATCAGAACATCTGATGCCCACCTACAAGATTTTAAGCAGAGCAACATAGCAGGGAAGCAGCTGGAGGTAACAAAAATCTATTTATGTAAAACATATATAAAGACAAGAGTTYATGTTTTTATTATCACCCTCCAGCTCATTTCCACGATGCTATAACAGAAATCAAAAGGTGAAACTCTTAAAAAAAAACCGCTTTGGCTCATCTTGCTGCTGCTGTGTGATCTCTGCAGGTCATTACGTCAGAGACATCTGCATCTACGGCCCGGGGGATCTGCAGTGGATCACGGAGTCCCCTCATTTATTTGCCAATAAATTCGAGCCTGCACGGTACCCRCTGGCCATGGAGTGCCTGGAGAGGCGGCTGCGCCTCAAGGTGCTGAGCCAGGCTCAGGTGCCCATCGAGCAGCACTGGCGCCTGCAGGAGCACAGTTATTTCAACATGAAGCTGGATCAGTGAGCTGAACCCACCCTGAACCAACAGACACAAAATAGGAATGTTCACAGCCACAGGCTTCACTCCCTGCACTAAGGGTAAAGCACAATACTGTAATCCCAGAGAAATAAACGGGTTTTATTTATTCCAGTAACAACTGTTAGTGGGTTAATTCCCAAAGAACATCTAAATAGACAAGGGGGGGGATTTCATAATCTGTTAAGTGARTTATTTAGCTGGAAAAGTCAATATTCCTCATGTTCACAGCCAAAGCATGACTAACTGGCATCAAAATAATAAAATGGAAGCAGCGACTGAAGCAAAGATAAAATACGGAGAAATAACAAATTAAAGTCATGGCTCCTGAATGTCTTAGGAAATGTTTTGAATAATGAAGTTCATGCTCAAATTTCAGAGGTTGTACTTCAGTGACAGGCAGTTTCTGACACAGTCCATGCCACTGGGGGGTTTGGGTTTGTTTTTATTTCCCATGGCCAGCTGCATCCCTAATTTCATTGTGTAGCATGGCAACATCACTGCTGCCCTTGCCAGGCTTTGCTCCTAATAACAGTCAGAGGGATCCTGCAATGCATTTTTATCTCAAAGTCCTTGTTCTGAGTCTCTGCAGGAGTTTAGGGCAAGGAGACGTGGAAAATTTGAGGCTAGGGATACAGGAAAACTGAGCAAAAGGACACTTTTCCATCATTTTTTCATCCTGGTGTACCTGACTGAGGGAAGCAAAAACCCTGAGCAAGTGCAGTAACACCTGGCAGGGACCAGGACAACTCACTCGATTAAAAACTAAAAATTACAAATAAAAGCCTAGAAGCAATTTAGATGTCAGCTTCACCATGCACCCAAAACATCCCTCAGTTTTTACAAGAAAATTGGCTGCAGATTGAGCCTATTCCCAAAAAAATCAAATGACCCTAGAACAGCACATGAAAGTTTCTTATTACAAACTCATTTCTAGGTTGCTGGAACTTTACTGCTCATTTTCCCACAGAAGTTTCTCGGAAACATCAATTCTTGCAAATGAACTTTAACCTAAAGAAAGGCCATCTGGTCCCTATTTATTTACAAACTCAACCCCAAGGCGTGTGCTCAGTTTCATGGATAATCCAGGACTTATCTTGTGGCTAAATATTGCTAAATATTGCTGCATAAATATGATCCTTTTTTTATGGAGGGAAATAAAGCTAAAAAGGAAAAGGAAAATAAAAGCCAGGCACATGTTCATGCTGAGCTTGTTGAGAGTCTCTCTTCAAACCATTACTGGAGCTAATGGGTSTCTGGCATGTATTAATCATAGCAATATTCATAATTAATTTCTCTCCAGTCCACTGTGGGGCACTGCCAGCATTTATCCACTCCATGATGTCTTTTAAAATGGGAATGGAAGGTTCCTTATTGCCATCATTGCAGCAAATTCAGTCTCCAGCTTTCACCTCTGGCACCAYCACACAGAACAAGTGCTGTGCATCACTTCCAAATTGAATTAAAATTAAAAATTCAACAGCGAGGCACTATAAAACACGGGCTCATTTTGGAGAAATTGAACCAGGCAAAAACCCTGCACAAAAAGCCCTCTTAAAATACAATTTTGGTATGACTTGACCCATGTCAGCCTTGGCACATCTCTGCAGCATAACCCTCATTCCTTTAAGCATTTTGTATTTGAAACAAAACTTTAGGAAAATCATCACTAAACCATTCTCAAGTAGTAAAAATATAATATTCAACTTATTATTCTGATTATCATGACCACATTACCTCCCTGAAACACACATGAAAAGCCTTCATGAATTCTGTGTTACCGTGTTAAGAGTAGATCAATCACAACTTTTACACCTCAGCAAGCAATGTTTGCTGAATTTGGTGCCCTAAAGGCAGAAAGTGCCAAAGTGACCCTGGTTCCAGGAACCACTGCTGCACACACAGCTCTGCATCTGACAGCCACGTGTGTAAATTCTGCAAAAAAAGCTTCCTATCAAAGTTAAACACAGGATTAAGTGTTTGATATGGCACAGTTTCATAGTTAGGGCACTACTTCAAGTGTGTGTTTAGTTGACTCTGAAAACAAGTCCAAAATAAACTTTTGATACAAGAAAGTACCTTTTAAATGTAATCTCGTCCTTAACTTCCAAAGTGACTCCCAGAAGGACTTCCACCACCAATTCCATAACCTCTATCCTGTCTGCAAATTACTCCAGCACATTTTTACATCAACAGGAACTTCTTAGAGAGTCACCTTCCAAACTGGTAATGAATAAAGCGTATTTTTTGTCAAATAACAGACTTCCATTTAGCAGCACCAAAAACTGCCCATGCAAGAATAAAAATTCCAAAACATCAGGACACTACCAAAATCCTCAGAGCTACACAGATCACCACAAACTTGAAATCTCCAACATCCCATCAGATACAAAAAGAGGGAATAGAGACAATCTTGTTTGTTCTTTTAATTTTAGCCTGTTGGARAATTAAACACTTTGCTCCAAAGTGCAAGTTTTAAACTGACAGATTCCATCACAGATAATTCTTCCTGAGCAACAGGAAGGAGGARACAGCAAAAATCCCAGCCTTTAGAGCTGCTGCTGGAGAATCCACATCTGGAAGCAACAGTTATTTCTCTTCCTGCTGACTAAAATGTGACTAAGTCACATTTGAGCATGTGATAGTGTTGAGAGTTTCAATTTTGCCTTTTTACTGATCAAAAAGCTCCAAAATATGGCTCAAACAAAACCCACTTYTGTGTAAAATGAGTTACAAGATGTATTTGCACTCCTAAGTTGCTGTTTCAGACAAAAACTCTTTTCCAACTCTTCCAAGTCTGAGTAGAAGCTACAAAATTTGTCCCAAGTATTTCATTTACCAAGCCTGCTCTCCAACTTAAACCAGCACTGAAAAACTCAGCTTTTTCAAGAAATCTTTGGCCAAGAAGGTATCTCAGCAAGACAGTTCAAAGGATTTACCCTCCAGGCAATGAGAGACAAATCCCTCAACACTGCTCCAGTTCTGACTGGTCCTTTGTCTCAGAGTTTTCACATTTGAATGTTACTCTTTGAAATAAATCCTTCAAAATGCTACTTCAGAGGAAAAAGCACGTGGGATCCATTCAGTTTTTGTAAGATTATCAGACTGGCCAAACCATGGACAAAACATCTCATTCCTACATCTGCTGCTCTGGTTACACCCATCCATCAACACAAATGGAGATGCAAACAAAAAASTGGATTAAAAATAAATTAGTGTCTGCCAAAGGGAAACAAAGCCATCAAGACAGAAGAAAATGGGCACTGAAAGCAGMAACGTGAGAATAAACCTGACAATATCCAACAATATTTACCATGACAAAAGGTTTTCCTTTGCAGGTCTTGTTTAATATAAATATACTCTGTATTTTATCCAATATCAGGGTGTTCCCAGAAAAATAACTGCCTAAATGGGGCAACTCTCACCACAAAAGTTGCTGATAACAAAAGCAATGATAGGAAAAATGGGAATTTGTGATTTTTGTCACTGTTCTTAATTTCAAACATACAGAGATCAAATCAGTAACGTGAAACAAAGGCAGTATTTTCTACAATAATGCATGGAAAAACTCAATAAAGTTGGCCCCACCCAAAAATTTAAAAAAAACAACACCCAATGCCCTTGAAAAATACAGGGATCATAATATAACCTGAACATATAGTTTAAACACAGAGCAGAAACTGATAAAACACAAGCTGTGTGCATTCAGGAAGAAAAAATAACCAATCTAGCAAACCCCCAAAATCCCAAAGCAAAACCAATCACTCATTTTAAAACTGAAATTAGAACCAAATCTTGGAAAAAAATGGAAATTCTAAAGTATCTACTGCAAAAACAAGTTCTGAGTACAAAAATACTTGTTTTTACAATTATTTAGATTTTTTTTTATCAAAAAAGGCCATGTAGAAATACTTGGGGCCATCACAGAACAGAACTTTTACTAAAGTTCCATTTAAATATGCACATTCAGATTAAAACCCCCCTTCACAGTACTGGATGTGAATAAACAGTTGTATAAACACACCCATGGCTGCACTGCTTCTAAAGATGGAAAAACTCACCTTGTGACAAACTTCTGATTTGATTTCYTTGAGAGCTCGTTCAGAGAACACACAGCCACAGTTTCTCAGGAAGCAAAACCTTCCAAGAAGAGAGAACACACAATGATTTGGAAAAAACAGAGAGAGGTGTGTGCAGTGGTGATGGGGCTGGCAGGGCACAGCTCACCTTTACAAGTTCTTGCTTTAATCAAACTATCAGTACATTTAAATAGGTAATTAATTCATTATTAATTTGCACAATGTAAGAATTGAATGAAAGGTATTTGGTACATTAAAGCACAATAGATATTTGTTTTTTTATCTTGAGTATCTCCTGGCTAATCCCTCACTGGAGGAAGGAATTCTTTGCAACCATTCAGCTGAGAACTCATCCCTCAGGTGACAAAGAAATTGCTGCTCTGCCCAAAGCAGGATGAGAGGAAATTCYCTGCCCCAGAGCAATAAACCCCAGRTATACTGACACCCACAATCTATCACCATTCTGATCCTAACAMGGGGAGAGGTAAAATGTGAGGGAAGGCTGAGAGAATTGGGATTGTTCAGCTGGAGAGGAGAAGCTTTGGGGTGAGCTCAGGGTGCTCTTGAAGGGCCTGAAGGAGCCAAAGATGGAGAGAGAGGATTAACAAGGGATGGAGGGACAGGACACAGGGAATGGATTCAAACTGGAACAGTGCAGGGTTAGATGGGATATTGGGCAGGAATTCCTCCCTGTGAGGGTGGGAGGCCCTGGCACAGAGCAGCTGTGGTGCCCCTGGATCCCTGGCAGTGCCCAGACCAGGCTGGACAGGATCTGGAGCAGCCTGGGATGGTGGGAGGTGTCCCTGTCCTTGTCATGGGGTGGAATGGGTTGAGCCTTAAGGTCCCTCCAACCCAAATCCTTCCCTGATCCCAATTCTTGACGTGACACAAAGGGAGGTCACATCCCATCTCCTGTGATTCAGCCCCAAACAACCTTCAGTCACTTCTTCTCTGCCAACATTGCTCCCTACTCCTTCCTTATCCACCTAAAGGACACCCAGAACTTCCTCCTGAACTTCCTCCTCAAATAAAGACAAACATTGCCCACCAAGGCATGGGGCAGGACATGATTTGCACCATTTCCCACTCAGTTTTCCCTGCTCTGCCCAGTTGAAACCCCAAATGCAGGCCCTGCAGCACTGACCTGTGCCTCCCGTTCATCTCCAGCCCCACCACGGGGCAGATGAAGCGTGCACACTGCAGATCATCGTATTTGTCCCCTTTGATGCTCTCCTTATCCCCACTCCAGGCTGGGTTATCCGCCAGGTTCAGCTCTGTCACATTCTGAAAAAGAAAAATGCAAACTTTGAGCRTTTCCCAGTGATTYTGASCCATGGTAATATTCCCTTATAACCTTTCCACTGTATTTTGCTTTTTTAAACACTTTAATTCACACTGAAAACAAACACAAATAAGAGATTTTTCATGACTGAACGTTCACTCATGATTTTAACATTTTATTTGAACTTCTCACATCAGGCACWGCCTGTTTACCTTGATGCTCTTGATGTGGGATGCAGATTCCATGGGAGTTTTATCMGGGGATTTGTCCAACAAAAATTCAAGGATGGCATCTTTGTTGTACAGCCTAGAACATAAAAATTTCGTTAATTATACTGGATTGCCATAACATTTTTATTTTTTTGTTTATAATTGATTTTTACTGCAGACTGGAGCCATTCTCACCTGCCCAGCTCACAGGCCACGATGGGCCGACGCAGCTTCTCCTGGCTCAGGGCACAGTAGAACCACCKGGCCACCAACTCAGCAACTTTGTCAACCTGGAGAGAAAAAATAACTCTCATTATTTAAAAATATTTGTAAATTATTTCGGCATAAAATCAGGTAATACGTGAGGCATTCATCAAATCCCTAGATTTCTTACCAAAGCTGCTTTCTGCACTATAAGTTGATTTATAAAATTATTTCAGCTGAAGTTTTTGGCAAAGTTCATGATCAGTTTTGCGCCTTTGCCTCTACCTAGTGAAGCCATTCCTGCAACACCTCCCTGGGCAGCCCCTGCCAAGGCCTGGYCACCTTTTCCATGRSGAAATTCCTRCTKCTGTCCCCCCTGYCCCWYCCTGAGGCCGTTCCCTCTCCTCCTGTCCCTGTTCCCAGAGCACAGCCCGAYCCCCCSGCTGTCCCCTCCTGTCAGGGAGTTGTGCAGAGCCACGAGCTCCCCCCCCGGACGCGCCTCCCTCTCCCCGCAGCCTCCCCACCATCCCGGAGCCCTCTCGCACCTTCTCGACTTTGCGGGGCCCCTTGACCAGCTCGTGCCGCTTGGGGATGGTGCCGCCATCGCATCCCATGGCGCTTCCGGGTTCTGCACCGCCCTTCCCGGAAAGATGCGTCACTTCCGGCGCATCACAATGACGTCACCGCTGTTGCCTAGCAACGGGCGGCTGGGGGCGCGGCCATGGCGCCGGGTGGGCGAGTCCATCGCGCTGGGGCCGGGGGTGCGCAGAATGTACCAAGTGAGTGCATGGGGGGGTTCCCAGCGCCTTCCCGCCCCTTTCCCGCAGGTTTATTCATTTTTTTTAATGAGGAAACCCTCCGGGACGCCCATTTCGGGGGGATTTACGGCAAAACGTGGCGATCCCGGCTCTGTTGGGGCTGGCGGGGGCGCTGAGGAGGCGCGCTCTCCCTCAGCGATGTCAGGGTGGTGCCAGGAGCGGGTTCAATCCACACGCGCAAATTCCGTGTGGGATGCAAACACAGCGATAGCGACTCATGTCGCGATAACAGGGACTCATGTCGCGATAAGAAACACGGGGGATGCCAGGGAATCGCATCAGAAACACGGGAGATGCCAGGGAAAGCTGCGGACGCCCCGCTCCCGCTATCGATTGCCCCCTCTGAGGGCAGCGCACCAGGGAAACACCGCCGGCAAAAACCACGCCTTGGCATTCCGGGTACAAACCGCAAAATAAATTAATSACCAGAACTACAATTAGCACGGGTGCAGCCACGCGCGGCCGCAGTGTCTTTGTCGCTGTGTTGCACATCCAGAAAWTTGGGGGATAAAGTTAAAAACTGCACCGAGGGAGCCCTGGGAGCCTCCCCAGCGCCGGGCGGAATTTGCTGGGATTCTGGCAGGGAATAACATCACCTTTCCAGCTGAAAGAAGAGCTTGTCCAAAGCCTCTGCGCATTTAGTGAGTGAAATATTTTTTTTTTTTCCAGCTGGAGAAAGGCTCTGAGAGCTCCAGGCTGCGACAGAGGGTGACAGATGCTCCCTGTGCTTCTCCCAAAGTTTTCCTCTGTGCCAACCTGGAGCCTTTTCTTGTCTTTGTATAATGCCTGCCAGATTTTGTACCGTATTACATTTGTATATGAAACCCCAAAATTAGCTTTGCAGACTGTATTTTTTTAAAAAAACAACAAACCTGTAATTACAATTTTTGAGTGAAGTCCTCAGAAACAATCGATAATGGCATATCATAAGTTACAGAACATTGTGCAGCTACATTTAAAGAGAGACTTTACATGAATAGAAAAAAAAAATAAAAAAGGGAAAATACATTTATCTGACATACATAAAGAATAAAAAATAAGAAACCAGTCCAGCAATAAACTACTTTTGCTCTGATACACAGCAAACATTCCCACCCAGCCACTGTGACGCTGACATTTCCAGGCAGGATCTGAACAGTGGAGAAGAAAACACCGATTTCATTCTGCATCTGCTGCCTTGGGGATCTTCACCTGCTAAAAACGCACCCAGGGAATTCCCAGCGGGAATTCTGAGAAGTGAGTGTCAAATTCTGAGGAATTCTGAGAAGTTTGGTGTCAAAAGGAGCACCAGCAGTGGAGAATCTCAGCAGGTATCACTCCATCATGGATCTGCTGTTGGTGTCAAAAGGAGCACCAGCAGTGGAGAACCTCAGCAGGTATCACTCTATCGTGGTTTGGAACTGCTGCTGGTGTCAAAAGGAGCACCAGCAGTGGAGAATGTCAGAGGTATCACTCCATCATGGCTCGGAATTGCTGCTGGTGTCAAAAGGAGCAGTGGAGAATGTCGGCAGGTATCACTCTATCATGGTTCTGAACTGCTGCTGGTGTCAAAAGGATCACCAGCAGTGGAGAATGTCTGCAGGTTTCACTCCATCATGGTTCTGAACTGCTGCTGGTATCAAAAGGAGCAGTGGAGAATGTCAGCAAGTATCACTCCATCATGGCTCTGATCTGCTGCTGGTGTTAAAGGGAGCACCAGCAGTGGAGAATGTCAGCAGCTATCATTCCATCATGGTTCTGAACTGCTGTTGGTGTCAAAAGGAGCACCAGCAGTGGAGAATGAGCGGCAGGTATCACTCCATCATGGCTCTGAACTGCTGTGGGTGTCAAAAGGAGCACCAGCAGTGGAAAATGAGCTGCAGGCATCACTCCATCATGGTTTGGAACTGCTGTTGGTGTCAAAAGGAGCAGTGGAGAATGTCAGCAGGTATCACTCCAACATGGATCTGCTGTTGATGTCAAAAGGAGCACCAGCAGTGGAGAATGAGCTGCAGGTATCACTCCATCATGGTTCTGAACTGCTGCTGGTGTCAAAAGGAGCAGTGGAGAATGTCAGCAAGTATCACTCCATCATGGATCTGCTGTTGGTGTCAAAAGGATCACCAGCAGTGGAGAATGTCTGCAGGTATCACTCCATCATGGCTCTGAACTGCTCTGAACTGCTGCTGGTGTCAAAAGGAGCAGTGGAGAGTGTCAGCAGCTATCACTCCATCATGGCTCKGAACTGCTGCGTGTACTTGGCCAGCTCCTCTGTCTGATCCCTCAGCTCCCTGGTGGCCTCRGCGTTGGGGTATTTGAGGGCAGCGTTTTTGGTGGCCAGCGCCAGGTTCTTGAGGAGGCTGCAGAAGCGGCTGCTGCAGTGCAGGATGTCACTGCGAGCGTCCTTCTGCTGCGTTTCCTGGCACAGGCAATCCACCAGCTTCTGGCCCACCATGATGATGAGCTTGCTGTGGGAGATGAAGATTTCGGGGGGCTGCTGGTTGGTGAGGCTGGTGGCRAACACCCCGAGAGCCTTGTGCAGGGCAGCGAAGCACAGCCTGCAGTGCTCTGGGAGAGCGATTTTCCTGGCAGGGTCCTGCCTGCTGGGACTGACAGTCTTTCTGGCACATGGCAAAACCTGCAGAAAGGGTTAAAAGGAAAATAAATTCAGCCTGSTGTCACACGCTGCTTGTTTCTTTGGTCGTTCTGCCCTAAATTCTTGTGGTCTCCAAATTGCCCCACCCTGGAGCCTTTACAGTAATTTCTCTTTCCCTAAAGTGTTGGAAATTCTCCTGATTGCCTTTTTTTCCCCTGAATACAGTTTTAATAATGGATGGCACACAAAGTGCAGCAGCCAAAYACCATTCCTTTACACAGTCTGGGCTTGAAGCTTTCAAATAATACAAAACATCGATCTTTAATGGATTTTATCAGCATTATAAATGATTAAAATGCACAAAACAAGAGGCAATTTTGTGCCAGTGTAGGACAAAATACTTTGAAATATTAATTCTCACAGCCTCATCCCAAATGATGCTGAAAGGTGATGAAAGAAACAATATGACTTTAAACTGTTTGAGGAAAACCAGTGCTTTTCTCAGGTTTTCAGCAGTAATTCTGGGAAAATTATCTCTTAGAAGCAAATAAGTCTGTGTGTATAGAGAGTCTGAATGCAAATGACTCTGAGTTTTAGCAAGCACAGAAATCAGAACTAAAARCCCTCATAAATAATAGTTTTCAAAGTCAGAAATACCTTTGGGTTTGACTCTGTGCTCTTCTTTTTTACTTCTTTACCTGAAATGACTTTCTGTGCCTGTTTCAAATTAAAATGAAAGCAAAGTTGAAACAACTGCATAAAGAATTTAAATACAAATGTGCTTTTCTCTTGATTTGTGGGGAAACAATTGCTTATTCTGTAGCCTGCATGTTAAAGGCAGCAATGGTGGATTTATTAAAAGGAGCTGTAGGGTTTTTCCTCCTAAAAATGTGCCTGGTCCTGCAAGATCTAAGACTGAACACAATATGAACAAAACATTTTGACAGAATATTACCAAAATTTTAAGGACAAGCAGCATTTCTTTTGGAAACCAAGGGAAATATTCTTAGATATTTTAGTAATTTTAAGGAGATTCTAACAATCATCTAGAATTATTCTAACAAATAAATGTGATCATTCACAGACTTTAATTTCTGTGAAAGAAGGATTCCCATGACACCTCAAATTAGGAAGGAATGAATATCTTTTGACATTCCAGAGCCAAACACAGGGAAGGGGCAGGAAGAGAACTGTGAGGGAAAAGAGAAGAAAGGAATTGCTCACTCCCAGATAAATYCTGTTTCCCAAATGAATTTAAACTGGCAAGATGACAGTGGGTGAATTCTCAAATTCCAGATCTYTTTATTAATTAAAATTATGGCTCACTGTACTTGTGCCATCCAGCACTGTAACAAAATCCTGAATCCTCATAAAGTCTGTAGTRCAAACTGAATCTGGCACTGGTACAAAGGTGAAATAGTGCTGATAGTTAATGGCTTAATATCTACAAAGGGTGAAGAATATAAAGAGCAAATCCCAGTTTCACTGACCTGTAACTGGACATATTCACAATCCTCAGGGGCATTTTCTTCTGCTTTCTCCAAAGGACCCCGGCTCTGGCTGGATTTATCAGGAGCATTTCTCTGCAGTGACTCTATTTCCACCCTYCTGGGCACTGGGATTTGTTTGGCCATTTTGCACTCTGGGTTCACGTTTGATTGTTTCGTCTCTTGCTCCTTCTCATTCTTCCTGAAGAGCAACTTCCCGTTGGCGATGATGATGGATACAAATCTCTTGATGTCCTCTGGAATTGTCCGGGCCACCATAACGAAGCGATCCAGGTCATCAGGRTTATTCTGGGGCTTCCTGAGCACCAAAGCCTCCAGGGACCAGYTGCAGTTATTGAGAGCTTCCCTCGTTTCTGTCAATATTTTGTAGGARTTCATTAGGATTTCGAGCTGTTTTTTAATTCTGGCCTGCAGGTTGTTGTCGGTGAGGTTGGAGGCGTTGCCCTTCAAGGCTTGAGCAAAAGCCAGGAACTCTCCCAGTGACACTTTGATGTGGTCCACTGCTCTGTGGATCTCCTCCAGGCTTTTCTCCAGATGCTCCTGCAGTCTCCACTTGCTGCTCACAAAGATCATTAAACTGGCAATGGAGCTGGACACGCCGTGCTGCAGCCGAGTCAGGGTCTCGATGGCTGCTTCCAGCTCCAGTTTAATTTCTGGGACAGGCTCTGGTGAGGCTGGCAGCRTAGAAAATGACTCAGAAGCAGAGCTGGAGGATGAGGAGAGAGTGCTGCTTCTGCTGTCCACACCAGAAACGCTCAAACTGTCTTTTTCTAATTTGCCATCCGTGGAGAGCTGTGGAGAAGCGCCACGTGCTTGGTCTCCAGCGCCATCAGCGTTGTTCTCCATCTCTTTCTTGGAGTCTTGGAGTTTCTTTGGAGGTTTCTTCTCCAAACCTTTGGGAATGTCATAAACATTCTGCTCAGAGATCTGGGCAGCCAGGAGGCTCGGGGGCACCTCGCAGCTGCCGTTCTGTGACAAAGGGAGTGAGGACGGAACGTCGTAAAGGAGGATTTGGGGAAGCGGTAATTTCCTCTGGGCTGGTGGAATGTCGTAGAATTGTGGGSTCACACCCTTGGCTTCAGTGGTTGGTGCTTTGTACCTGGCTGGGGGTATGTCATACAGCACCGGCTGCTCCACAGCCTGCCCAGGAGGAGGGCTTGCCTTGAATCCGGAATTTTCAGGYGATACCGGGATATCGTAAATCCATTCCGACTTCCGAGGGTTTGGCAAAGTGTTGTAATGGCCCCAGCACTTTTTCTGAGATTTATTTTCGGATTCATCAAGTTCTCTTTTGGGAGGGATGTCATATAACTGCAACAGAGCACGAAATGTTAATGAGCCATCTTTTTAATCAAGAAACAAGAAATAAAATGGAATTCTCAGAGCACGTAAATGTGCGCAACGCCACTGATGTCAATGGATCTGCRCCACAAAAAGGCTGCCCAGATTTTTTATTTTCTAAAATGCACAATCTGCAGGTGTGAAAGGTAAAATATTTGGAGCACAAGTGGTTATATCCTAGAGCAGAGTCCCCAGCCAGTGAAATCTGTMGACACTTGATCTCCTCCCATTCACATGCACACCCTGACGAGCCATAAATCACCAACAGACAMCACTGACTCTTCTCAGACATCTTCAAAGAATTTATATTTTTACTCAGTACAGACATGTGCATGCACAGCTGGAGTCCAAGCTGGAAAAGGGAAATGCAGGACCATTTGCTGGGTAAAAAACAGTGGGGAAGAGATGGGAAACCTGTCCCAGCTCCGAGCCAGGCATCCCAGTAGTGACAGATTATTGTCTTGWGTCCACCAAGCCTTACTTACACTGCCCGCTGGTGAGTCCTTCTGGCTGCCAGCTCCTGCTTTTTCTGGGTTGGATGGGATGTTGTAAAGCTGCCTYTGCTCTGCCTGGAAGCTCTCAGTGGCTCTGCCCAGCATGGGGCCCTTCCGAGTGCTGGGGGGAGTGGCACCGCTCTGCTCAAAGGGGAAATAAATGGTTGATTTTGATCCTTTTTAGAACCTGCTGGGGACCTGGGTGGGATCAAAGGCTTTTAGGCCATATGTGAGTAGGTTTGAGAGAAGGGATCAGCCTCTCAGACAGTGGGGGTGACTCCAGGAAATCTGTGGGTAATTGGAGGTGACAGCACAGGGCTGGGGACTGGTGCCTGTCCCATCCTGGAGACATGCACAGGCTCAGGGTGACAGAAATGTGACAATCCCTGTCCCCACGGGAGCGGGACAGTAACGAGGACAGGATTGTGTAACAGGACACGTCACGGTGATGTGACCAAATCCAGGGCAAGTTTTTCCCAGGAGCTGGGTGGAGGGGTTGACCTTTGGTTTCTTTTTGAACACGCACTTGTGACTCTTCACTAAACATCCCCAAACCACCCCAATCAAATGACACAACCACGTTTCCTCRTGGATTCCAAGGCAGAGAGGTTGACACTGATAAGAGAATTCAGGAAGACATCAGTGGTGCCAACCTCCCTGCCTTGGAATCCATGGGGAAGTGCCTTAATAATGGAAAAAAATGGAAATGTTTATTAGAAACACACCAGATTTAAGGCACATTGCTCTAAATTTCCAAGTAACGCAGGAGAACTGAGCTTTTGAGCTAAAAATAGGTGATTTTCTTCCCCATTTTWCAAAAAGCGAATAGGGTGAGGGAAGATTTGCCCTCCCAATTTATTCAGAGATGCTGCAGGGAGGGGAGTGGGGCAGGACTCACCTGTGTGAGCAGGGACTCGTGGCGCTGCGTGGAGGGGACATCGTACACCTCCCCCCTGATGTTGGGGGTTGAAGCCCGGCACGCTCTGGGCAGGGTAAACAGGTGCTTGGAGGGGAGAAAAAATATCATAAATTGYATTGGCAGGAAGGTCAGGACAGCTTTGAAAACTCATTTGGATGAAAATTGTTGGAGTAATCACTCTTAAGTGATAAAAGCCTTCAGCTCTTCCCTGAAGGTGGGAGACAGGARCCAACCTTACAAGCAATAGGATTTTTATTCCACCATAAATGTCCTTTGCCAGCATTTCTGGTACATTTTAGATAAGATCAGAACTGGCACACACATAACAAAGACAATCTTCCTTCCTAACCATGGGACAGAAAAGATATGGAGCAAATCCAGCTSCAGTTATCACTTAAATCTTTCGACTGCCCAAAAGCAGAACCACTTAAAAAAGGAAGTGGGGAAATTTTGACTTCTCCAAGCCCACAGAGTCATTGGGTCAAGCCATATTTAATGTCAGAGCAGCAAAAAGGACTTTTCTTTTTTTTTAAATCAACCACCAAAATGTGGAATTTTGTTCAYCCAGCCTGTCTTCAGCCTGGCTGCCCTCAGGTAATTTATAAATGGGCCATTGCAAACCACTGACCTCCAGAAACACTGCAGGAGATTTATAGTAAGAGATTTTAAATTGGAGGGAGTGATTTCCACCATGAAAGTGTTGCAGCAACACTAATTTGGGGGAAATATGATAGAGGAAGAAGAGCACAGCTTTACTCTTCCTGCTTCAGTTCTCCTCTGAAAATAGGGAATGAGGAGTGAGGACAAATCCCCTTAATGCTCTGTGAYAGAGAATCSCAGARTGGRTTSGAAAGGGATCTTAAAGCCCATCCAGTTCCACTSCTGCCATGGGCTGGGRCACCTTCCACTGTCCCAGGGTGYTCCAAACCCYSTCCAACCTGGCCTKGGRCACTGCCAGGGCTGGGGCATCCTGGGCAACCTGTGCCTGAATATCAGCACCTTGCTTGTCAACACCTGAGCACCAAGGGTGAAAGGTAAACGGTGTCAGGAAAGCCATCCTTGTCCAGATGGACAAATCTGAGAACACAGCAAAAAAGCCTCACTGGGYATCACATTTTAACTGCTTTATGAAGTGGCAGTAGAACCAGAAGTGCCCTGTGTGTGAGGCAGAAGAGATGACCTTTTACTGTGTGGTGAAAACACACAGGCTCTGAGGGATTTCTCTTTGTTTYATTGCTCAAAGATGTGCAGTGGCTTTTCCCAGCTGCTCAGAGGACAGCTGAGTATGSCAGGAGCTCTGCCAGCTGTCCCACACGAGCTCTGGGGGCTGGTCTGGATCGTTCTGTGTCCCTGAGCTCCCCTGCCTTGGGGACAGCTTGTGACCACCAGGGTACAGCTGGTGTGGGGACAGCTGGGACACTGCCACAGGCAGCCCCACTCAACTTCTGGACAATAATCAGAGGCTGGGAYGTTTCTTTTTCATTCTTAGTGAGATCAGAAATGGCTTAGGTGGGTAAATTCATGAAGTGAGACAGGGAGAGCTGAGGAGTTCTGCTGGGCCATTCATCCAGATAATGAACAGATGACATTTTCAACCTGATTTGCTGACACAACACAGAAAATTCGTACCAATCTCTCATTCAGTTTGCAAAAGGCTCCTTCAGGTCAGGAATGTGGAGCAATCAGATCACAGCGAGTGCAGAAGGGTCTGTTGTAGCTGTTGGTGAGTTTGAGTTTGAGTTATGGCTGTGCACTGCAGCTGCAGTGCTGCCAATGAGGTTTTGCTCACCAGGGATGCTCTGAGTTTGTTTTTTTTTTCCAGCATCCACCTGCTGCCCAGCAGGGAGCAGTACCTTGGTTTGCATTGTTTGCCTTCCACGCAGCAGGAGGAAGRGTGGCTGACTGAGCCCCATAAATCAAATGATCATTAAATCAGCCTCAAACTCTATAGAGCTGGATTGTCTTCCTTTTCCTTTTCCAATTAGAATTTCTAATGTGATTTTCTTATCCAGAATAAAGAGCCATCCAGGGCTCRAGAGCTCATAGAGTTTAACAAAACCTTGCACTCAACTCTGGCTCCACCTGCTCTATTTCCCTTTCATTATGAAACATTCCCCATTCATTTTTTTTTCCTGAAGAGAGCACAAGTTTTTGATTTTAAGACACTTGATGCAATGTGTAATCAAATTGCATGTTCCATGTACATGCTTCATTTGAATGTCAAACACGAGGAGCTGGGAGAGAGGAGAGCCAGGCCAGGGAGCTGTCACAAAACCCTGGAAAATCAGGTTGTTCTCCTCCACAAGACTGGTGGCTGATCCTGTACAGCCTGATCATCATCTCAGCAGCAGCAAAAACACAGAGGGAGAGAAACTGGAGAGAAACAAAAACCCGTGTCCTTCTGCACATCTGACAGGGGCGAGCCTAGAAACAGCCTCGGGCAGCACAGGAGAGAGGCAGCAGCACTCTGAGCTTGCTGAGCTGCTGGAGATGGTAAAAACCAGACCAAACCCAGCAATCACACACCAAGGAGTGATTTTTCAAAAATCATGGATCATGTTGTTGTGCAGATGGATGCAGAGACCCCACATGTGCCCAGAGGACTCTGGATGGCCGCGTGCTGTGACCCATCAGAGGAGACAGTTCTGTGTCTTGTTATGTTAACTTTGTGAATCATTTCTAGATTCTCCCAAACAAATGGTCTCGTCTTTACTTCCTGCCCCATTTTCCAGCTGTTTTAAACTGTCAAAAAGACGAGGGAGTACAGAATATAGAGGCTCTCATCCTCTGCCCAGAACAGCATTTCTTACACAATGCTGTAAACCGTAGCAGAATTGATGGGAATTTCCTAAACACCATCATTCTTCTGCCRCAAATTCCACCGAGAATCCCAAACTTTCTAATTTCCCACTCCCAGTGATGGTTTTTCATGACAATATCTGTTATTTTTAGCATTGCCTTGGTTCTCACCTGGTGCGTGGAGCGCTTGGTCCTTTCGCTGAGCAGCTGCGCCGCCAGGGCTGGCACCTGATACACAGCCCGGGCAGGGGTGGCTGTGCCCCTGGCTGGACACTGCACCCAGCCCTCCATCTTCTCATAGGTGGCTGACACAGGCACRGAGGGCACCTGGTAGATGTTCTGCTGGCCCGTTGGTGTGTCTGTGTGGTCACCGTGAGCCGGTGGTGGCCGCGGGCTGGCCGGGCTGGCCGGGGCGGGTGGCAGGAGCTGCAGGCGGTTGGCAGGAGCCAGGCCATGTCTGCCATGCAGGGAACACCTCCACCAGCCCTCACTGCCCTCCACGTGCCGCTCCAGCACCGTCAGGATGTCACCCCTGCGGAACGCCAGCTCGTCCGGACACTCGGCCTTGTTGTCGTACAGCGCCTTGGCCAGGCTGTGCTGGGGACACGGGGACAGGGACACGGTCACAGCCACGCTTGGGGCTCATCCCCACCTCAATTTGCTTCACCCACCCCTTGTCACACCAAAAAAACCTCGCTGGGAGCACTGGGTTCAGTGCAGTTCACTGCAGTAAAGCACTGCAGCAGTTCAGTAAAACCTCATAAAACAAGCGCCTTGTTACCCTTATTAAACTCCTGCTCTCTCCTGTTAACTGAGCTAACCAGAGAACGATTCTGAATGACTCAGAGGTGAAAAACAAGTCACATAATCCTGGAAAACAAGGGATAGAACCTGTGAGTGCTCGCACTGTCATTTTTTTGGGATATTTTCAATACAAGATGTCAGTTTTTTTAGGGTGTTTTCAATATAAGTTGTCAGTTTTTTGGGGTATTTTCAGTACAGGATGTCATTTTTTAGGGTATTTTCAGTGCAAATTGTCATTTTTTAGGGTATTTTCAATACAAGATACCAGCTTTTTGGGGTATTTTCAGTACAAGTTGCCAATTTTTAAGGGTATTTTCAGTACAAGATAAATTTTGCTTCCAGCTTTAAACCAGCCCTGTCTGTTCCCAGTCAGTGAACACTGGCTGTGGCTCAGCACGAGTTCCTATCACAAAGTGCAGTGTCCAGAGACAGCTCCCAGCCAGGAAACGTGATGCCCTGTGTTTTTGTGGGGAGCATTTGCTGTGCAGCAGCAGCTGGAGCTGAGCAGGAGAAGCCAAATTTGTCAGCTCAGCTGGTGACAGAGCCCGCTGCGGGCTGCAGGCGTTTGGTGGCCGTGAACAAGGGCCTTTTGTGGGGTTGGGGCAGCTGCCAGGGATGGACAGAGCCCCTCTGGCCTCACATCCCAGCCTGGCTTTGGTCTGGAGCACGGGAATCTGCTTTTCATTTGGACAAGGATGAATTTTGGAGTCCCCAGGAATCCCCTTCTGGGGTGGGTCTGGGCTCCACACACTGGGGAAAAAAAAAAAGTGGGTCAAACAGCCAATTTTGCCAATTTTGCCAATTTTGCCAATTTTGCCAATTTTGCCAATTTTGCCAATTTTGCCAATTTTGCCAATTTTTCCTATTATTCATCAGCCCTTGTAGATCCTTGGATGCTGCACAGCCACTCTTGTGAAAGACAGAGCCTTTCCTTCAGCCCTGAGCAGGGTGGGCAGAGGAGATCTCCCCTTTTCCATGGGCAGAGCTTTATCCAGGCGCTCAAAGGAAACGGGCAGCGGGCTCAGGAATTCTGGGGGCACAGCCCACAAGGCAGGGCTGCCCTTCCTCCTCACCCCACACTGCTGAGGGCAGCTCTTGGCTCACACTGTGGTTTGCAAAACCATCCAAATATTGACGTTGCCCCAGACAAGCCTTTCCTGAGGCAGCAGCACATTGAGGTGTTGCTGAGCCCATTTTTATAATCCAACAGGGACGGAAAGCTTCCAAAGCTTCCCCAGAGCATCATTGCTGGGGTTTGGCCAGTGAAGATGTGCCAACCCCCAGGGCCAGCAGCCCCCAGGCACAGCCAGGCCTGAGCAGAGCAGGGTGGGGCAGGTTTTGCATTTCTGGAGCTCACACTGGGGCATGAGGGCTCTGTAATCAGCACCAACCCAGGAACCTCTAAAATAATCCAAATTGTGAGCCAAACAGGAGAGTAATTAATGAATCAATAAAGTGTGGGGACCCTGACCTAGCTAGAACACATGTCACACGCATGTCACATACATGTCACACGCATGTCACATACATGTCACACACATGTCACATACATGTCACACACATGTCACTTACATGTCGCACACATGTCATACACATGTCACATACATGTCACTCACATGTCACACGCATGTCACATACATGTCACACGCATGTAACATACATGTCGCACGCATGTCACATACATGTCATACGCATGTCACTTACATGTCACACACATGTCACTTACATGTCACACACATGTCACTTACATGTCACACGCATGTTACACACATGTCACACATATGTAACATACATGTCACACACATGTAACATACATGTGACACACATGTCACACACATGTCACATGCATGTCGCACGCATGTCACATACATGTCATGCGCATGTCACATGCATGTCACATACATGTCACACGCATGTCACACACATGTCACTTACATGTCACACACATGTCACATACATGTGACACACATGGGGTGAGGTTATCGGCAGGGCAGCTCTGGTTCGTGCTCATTGGCTGTGGGCTGTTTGCGCTCCCGGCTCCCGGACGGGTGCGAGCGGAGCATCCCTGCCGGAGCTTCTTCCCGTGTGAGAGTAAAACATCCCTGTGACCGCTCCTGCCCCTGATGTGAGCGGAGCATCCCTGCTATCGCTCCTGCAGCTCCTGCAGCTCCTGCCCGTGTGAGAGTAAAGCATCCCTGCTATCGCTCCTGCCCCTGATGTGAGCGGAGCATCCCTGCGGCCGCTCCTGCAGCTCCTTCCCTGTGCGAGAGGAGCATCCCTGCGGCAGATCCTGCCCATGGTGCGATCGGAGCATCGCTGCGGCCGCTCCTTCCTTTGGTACGAGCGGAGCATCCCTGCAGCAGCTCCTGCAGCTCCTTCCCCTGTGTGAGAGGAGCATCCCCGCGGCAGATCCTTCCCCTGTGTGAGAGTAAAGCATCCCTGCTATCGCTCYTGCAGCTCCTTCCCCTGTGCGWTCGGAGCATCGCTGCCGCAGCTCCTGCCCCTGATGTGAGAGGAGCATCCCTACGGCAGATCCTGCCCATGGTACGAGAGGAGCATCCCCGCGGCAGCTCCTGCAGCTCCTGCCCATGCTGCGATCGGAGCATCCCTTCCCCGGCCGTGCCCGCAGCATCCCGGGCTGGCAGCGCCCTGGGGAGGGCAGGGCGAGCTGCTCCAATCGCCATCAGTTCACATTTCCAGGCCATTTTCTGGGACAATCATCTCCTTAGAGCAGTGATTAGTGACTGTGTTTTACTGGCTCGTCTACGCTAGGACTACACTCAAACTCCAATCAAATACAGAAGAGAATGAAGGAAATCSTTCCATACCATCAATAAAGTCAGCTCAACAAAGCTTTTACACCACAAGCTGTGCTGGGAGGGCAGGGCGAGCTGCAACTTGTGGTGTAAAAGCCCCGGGAGCCAGCGGAGCTCTGGCTGTGTCCTCCCCACCGTGGAGCGTTCGATCCTTGAATAACCAATGTGTAAAAAGCAACACGGGAGGGGTCAGAGTGGTTTTGCTTCTTTGTTTGCTGCTTCATCCCCGTCAGAGCCTTGTAAAACTTATCCTGAGACACAGAAAATCCTAAAAGCCCCACAAAAAAGCACCTTGGGAGGCAGTGCTGGGACTGTGCCAGTTTTAACGAGGCGGTGATAGAGAACAGACCTGGAAAAGAGGACAAGAGTGTCCCCTGCGACCCCYCAGAGCCACCCCAGGGCAGAACAAGCGATTCCCACCCTGAAGGGATTCACAGCGCAGGGTCTCTGGAAAAAGCTTCACCTCCAAAGTTTTCTCGTAGCTGGAAGCGCATCTCCTTCCTCAGAGTGTGGCTCAGATGTGGAGAGAGTCATTCCCCCCCAAACTGGACTTTTTAACATCTTTATTGTTTGCATCCAGCACTCTGTAAAACCTGGCAGCCCCTGGGAGTCMCAGCAATGAAAGCTGCTCGCTCATGTTTATTCATAAAGGCAGGGAAAATGGCAATTAAGGGCAGTAAAGCTGGGCAGTGCCCAGTTCTGTAATGTAAAATTCTGTCCCCTGCAAGTGGGGGTGACATCTGTGCTCTGTGTGCACAATGGATGTTTATGCTAAGGGAAAAATATCCCTCTCCTATCCCAAGCCCTATCCCAAATCCATGCAACATWAAAAAATCCTGATAAAATATGTTCAAACATGGCTAGAAAAATCCAGGTGACACCCGGTGACAAATAGCACCTTGCCTGCCAAAATAATTTCTCGATGCCCCCTTCCCACTCAGATTTGGAAATTTCAATTTACTTGCCTGTATTATTTCAYGTGAATGGGTACTGCACTATTTCAGAGTTTTAATTTTTTAAAAAATTATTAATTTTTTCCTTCATTCTCTTAAATTTGCTTCTTTAAAACCCTGTTGACATCATGGAAATAWAGAGAACTTTAACCCTGGGAATTTTTGTGGGTCGAGAGAAATATTTCTCCTGCTGCACATCAATAAATGTGTAAGCCCTTTTACTGGCACTTAAAATATTTGAGGAGGAAGAGATAGAGCAGCAGCTCTTGTTTGCTAAACAGCTCTGCTCATGCATCAGTGACACCTCTGACATGTTTACAGAGCAGCTCCCAGTTAATCTCTTCACCTCCCAGCAAAGCTGGAGAAATAAACATTCTCCATCATCCCTTAGCTGGGAACAGGCTTCCC